CCCATCCCGCGCCCCTTCTACCCCATCTCCTCCTGATCATCACCATCACAAGCAGCATAATCACTATCATCGTTCGCGTCTTCCACCACCTCATCATCATCATCATCATCATCATCATCATCACCACCATCACCATCACCATCACTATCATCATCATCATCATCATCATCATCATCATCATCAGCAGCAGCAGCAGCAGCAGCATCAGCATGAGTTTCAGCATCAGCATCAGCACCGTCGTTAGCATCATCAGCAGCAGCAGAAGCAGCATCATCATGCTCATCATCATCAGCAGCAGCAACAGCAGCAGCACAAGCATCATCAGAAGCAGCAGCAGCCTCATCAAACTCGTCATCGACCTCATCATCATCAGCAGCAGCAACAGCAGCAGCAGCATCACCAGAAGCAGCAGCTGCAGCAACATCATCTTCATCGTCATAAGTATACCAAAACGTAGAACTGGCCATCCGCAGCATCATCAGCATCAGCAGCAGCACCACCCTCGTCATTATCGAAGTCATCATCGGCATCGTCATCGTCATCACCATCAGCATCGTCATCACCATCAGTAGTAATGAAAATAGTAATGAAACAAATCATCAGTATCTGCATCATCATCATCATCATCAGCATCATCACCATCATCATCATCATCATCATCATCACCATCAGCAGCAGTATCCTCATCAGCAGTATCATCATCGGCATCATCGTCATCAGCAGCATCAGCAGCAGCATCGTCAGCAGCAGCAGCAGCAACATCAACAGCATCAGCATCACTATCATCATCATCATCATCATCATCATCATCATCATCATCATCATCATCATCGTCATCATCAGCAACATCAGCATCATTATCATCATCATCATCAGCATCATCAGCATCAGCATCATCACCATCAGCATCATCATCAGAATCAGCATCAGCATCCTAATAATCAGCAGCAGCAGCATCATCATGTTCATCAGCAGCATCATGACGAGCAACAGCACCATCAGCAGCATCATCAACAACAGCATCAGCAGTATCATCATCAGCATCATAATAATCATCAGCATAATCATCATAATCATCAGCATCGCCAACATCATCATCATCATCATCATCATCATCATCATCATCATCATCATCATCATCATCATCATCATCATCGTCGTCGTCGTCGTCGTCGGCGGCGGCGGCGGCGGCGGCGGCGGCGGCGGCGGCGGCGGCATCAACATCATACTCATCATAAACTCCGCAGCAATAGCATCATCATCAGAAGCAGCAGCATGACCATCTACTTGAACAGCATCAACAGCAGCAACTGCATCAGTATCACCGTCATCATAAAAACCAGCATGATCATCATCATCAGCATCATCATCATCACCATCATCATCACAAACGTCGCCAACATCACCAGAATCATCATCAGCAGCATCATCATCGCCAGCATGGTCGGCATCAAATGATAGAATCGTCGTTGTCATCATCAGCATCATCATAGCCATCATCATCAGCATAGTCATCATCATCACCATCATCATCATCAGCTTCATCATCACAAGCATCGCCATCAGCATCATCATCAGCAGCATCAGTATTGTTATCAGCATCGTCATCGTCGTCATCATCATCGCCGTCGTCGCCGTCATGAAAATCATCATCAACATCATCATCACCGTCATCAACATCTTCAGTATCATCGTCGGCATCATCACCATCATCGCCATCATCAGCATCGGCATCATCGTCATCATCGTCATCATCAATAGCAGCATCATAATCATAGTCGTCATCATCATCATCATCAGCAGCATCATCACCATCATCATCAGCATCATCGCCATAACTAATCATCACCACCGTCATCGGCGCCGTCGTCATCGTTATCGCGATCCTTCTCGTCGTCATGTTTGCAATCATCGACAGCATCCCCCATCCGCCCGCCCCCATCTTCTCCGAGAGCCCCTCACGAGCCTCCCGGGGCGGGAGGGTGGTGCCTTCCTGATGCAGACCCACCCGTAACCTCCGTAGAGGGCCGCCGCCCCGCGCGCCCTGCGCCCCACTGTGGCGCAGTGCCGGCATGTTGCTTTCGGCGCTTGCGCGCAGGGGGGTGGCCCCAGGGGGCAGCCCTCTGCAGAGGCGGGGGGGCTTCTCAAAGTCCAGGGCCCCAAAACCGCGCGGTGACGGACCGCGTGGTGACCTCGGAACCGCGAACGACCTCATCGCGCGACCCGTCAATCCGCGGCCTTGGGACGGGCCAGTCGCCCGATACGTCCTCGGAGAGCAGCCCGGGGTCCAAAAACCGTGCGGTGACCACGAATCTGCGGACTCGCCTCGCGGTGTGGTCACCACACCGCTCGGGACCCCCGACAGAAAACACGGGACAACTGAGAGGGGCCTGGAAGCCTCCGAGAAGGACTCTGGAAGCCGGGAGGGCCTCTGGAGAGGCCCGCCCGACCTCCTGGGAAGCTCCCCCGCACTCCCAGGGAAAGGCCCACCTGCCCTGCTCCTTGCAGGGCGCCGCCAACACCGTGTCCCTCCCAGGCAGAGCCTTCATGGCATGCCTGCCCAATGTTGATAATGCGTCGGCCCCTTGCGAGCTCAACAGGCTTGGAAACTTTGGGGGGCAGCCCTGGAGCCTCAAATCATTGACAAACAACTATTGCATGGCTTTAGCGTCCCCGCCTCTTCGGTCGCAAGGGCAACCAAGAGGCCCCCAACATTGGCTCAAGAATACCCTCGAGGCTCCCAAGCGGGGCCCCAGAGGGCCCCAAGGCGACCCCAAGAGTGGCCCGAAATGCATACCACCGCCGCACCACTTGAGAACTATCCTGCAAGGACCCAAGACGCCCTCTCAGGCACCCAAGAGGCCCTCGAGAGGCCTCCAAGAGGCCCCCAAGACGCACCCAAAAGGCTCAAATTAGGCTCCCAAGATGCATCAGGCGGGTGTCCCGAGGATCACCAGAGATGCCGCCGAAATACCCAAAGATTGCCCTGCAAAGGTCCAAACTGCACCCCCGACGATGGCCCAAATATCCGCCACCTCGCCGTAGGCACTGAGTGGAGCGACATCAATTCGCTGCGGGCTCTCCAGGATCAATTAGTCGATGTTTTCTTACTCGGCGTTTCGACAGTGGGCGGAAGGGGGGGGAGGGGGGGGTCTGGCTCCGGACCTCTGCTTAGTGCGACTGTTTGCAGCAATGCGTCCATCGTGGGAGATGCTCCACCTGCTCGAAACCGGGCGCCAAAGACAGCCAAGATCTACTCCGTAGGGGGTGGGAGTGGGGGGTGCGAGGGCCCGCGCCGATCGGCAAAACAATGAATAAAACAACGATCACCGATCAGCATCGAGTCGGGACATCGGATAGAATAGGATGGTGTGTCGGATCGGGCTGCATCGGCACGGAATCGAAATCGAATCGGATCAGCTAGTCGAGAAAGCCAGCGCCATGCAGGCATCCGGCCGCGCCGGATCGACGGAAGGTCGGGATCGAATCGGATCGACGCGGCCGAAATCCATCTCGAATCGGATCGGTCGGATCGAAACGGAGCCCAGTTGAAGGTCGGGCATGTCCCCCTACAGGTGGACACAAAAATACCCAAACATACCCCAAAAACTCAAACTAATACTCGAAAAAAAACGTCCCCAGACTATTGTTTGACTATTTTGGGGTATTCCTCCTGCAGAAGGACGTGCCCAACTTAAGCCTAGTTCTCTGCATTGAACTGTAAGTGCTCTTGCACAGAACCACGGCCAACAGAACCTGGCCGCTGTCGGGCGATCGTGCGCACTCTCGTGGAGCGGCTCGCGTGACTTTTCTGGAGGGCTCGGAGGCGTGGTTGAGGGTGACACTTCCAAAGGCCTCCCAAATAGAGTCCACGTAGTAGATAGAGTGTCAGAGAATCGCGCCGCATCTCTGATGCCTCGCCGATGCATCGGCGACGTCGGGGCGTGGAGAATCGGGCTCCAAATCGAACTGCTTCGCCCGTGCATCGGCGATGCGGCGCGGTCCTCCGACCGCATCTGCTCAAGGTCGGCTTAGGACGGCTTCTGAGCCCCCAGCCAGGAACCCAAGAGGCAACCGAGATGGCACTGCGAGGGGCCCCAGAAGAGAAACACGAGCCCAGAATTCGAACACGCCACCCCAGGATTGCCTCCGAGACCGCCACGCGGCCCTCAAGAGGCCCCAGGCAGACCTCCGAGGGGCAGCCAGGAATAGCCCCCCAGGAGAGGAGGCCAAGAGAGACAAGCCGAGAGGCCTCTGGCGCACAGCCCGGGCACCGGTGGGAGGCTGGGACGAAGGCCACCGTAGAACCTCGGAATGGCCTCCGAAAGGTCGGGGATCTACTGGCCCGAGTGAATACAAACCCGAGTCGGTCAGGCTTCGCAGGATGCTGCAAGATCCTGCAGGAGCCTGCAGGGTCCTGCGCGCCAGCCCGGTGTCAACCCTGGCTCTGCGGGATCCTGCAGCATCCGGCGCTCTGGCTGACCCCCGTTTGCATCGACCCCGGTCTGTCGAGACCCGAGTCGGGGGCGCGCAAACATGGACTAGCGATCCATGGACTTGGCGCGCCACTCTGCCCAGAATGTGGCCGGTGCCGCCTCAGTCGGCGGCCGAAAACCGCGATTCCCCAATCTGACTACCTACCAGACCACCCCAACCCAACCCGAAGACCCAAATTTGACCCGAATTTCGGGTTGGGGGGGGTACGGATACCATATGTTTTTTCAACGTTCCCCGACCCCCCCCCCACTGGAAATCGAGGATAAATTTGGGCCTTCGGGTTGGGTTGGGGTGGTTTGGTGGGTGGTGAGAGACGGGGAGCCGTCTTCGGGACTCTTGGGCGACCCTGGGGCGGCCGAGGAGGAGGAGGAGGAGGAGGAGGAGCAGGAGCAGGAGGAGGAGGAGGAGGAGGAGGAGGAGGAGGGGGGGGGGCCCAAGACCAAGAGCGGTACAAAGTCCGCCGAACTTTCTCAAGTCACTGCGCCCAAGCCGCGGATCCAGTCTCAAGGGGAGGGCGGCGGCAGAAGGCGGAGCACAGCATCTTTCAAGCTTCTGAGCGTACACCGCGCACTTGCTTCGGAAGCGCGCAGGAAGAGTACTGCCGCGAGTCTAGTCGACGAATTGACGATGGAAAACGGTCCTGTCAGCCCGCATAGTGAAGACGCACGATGAGGCTGCAAGGGCCTTGGAGGGCCATGCCGAAGCTCTGCGGGTGGGGCACGGCCAGCGACGCCTTCCGGGGATGGGCCGAAGAGGGAAAGATGCCAAGGTACCCTTAGAAAGTTGCTCATCCTCACGGTGCGGGTTGTCTGAATAGAGCCCTGCGCTCGCCACGAACGCGGCACCCGTGTGGAAAGAGGAGCAGACACTGCACGAGCACCGAAACGGTCGACGGCCCGAGTGGACTTTCTGGACCGGCGCCGCATCGGTGATGCATCGGCGATGCATCGGCGCCGTGTCGGCGTGGAATAAAACTGGGCTCTATATCGCGCCGCATCGCCGATGCATCGGCGATGCGGCGCGATCCTCCGACCCCATCTGCTCGGACCCCATCTGGGGGGCCTAGAGGCTAGCGCCGGATCAGCAGTGGCGTCTGGGGAGCGGCGCCGTGAGATCTGGGAAGATTCATGGCCCTGGCCACGAGATCCCCCGCCCCCTAGCCATCGCCCCACTCTTGGCCGCCTCTGGCCGTGGCCAGCGCTGGATCAGCAGCTGCGTCTGGGGAGCAGAGACGACCGCAGAACTGTCGACGGCCCGCGCGGAAACCCTGGACCGGCGCCAGAAGTCTGTGCTCATGCTAGGGCTCCCAACTTCGCGCTTCGCGCTGCGCGAAGCGCGAAGCGCGAATAACTTCGCGCTCTCGCGCCGCCCTCCCAAAGGGAGAATAGGAGGACGAGGAGGAGGAGGAGAAGGAACGAGGACCGCGAAGCGCGAAGCGCGAATAACTTCGCGCCCTCGAGGGAGCCCTTGGAGCAGAGGCGACCGCAGAACTGTCGACGGCCCGCCCGGAAACCCTGGACCGGCGCCAGAAGTCTGTGCTCATGCCGCTGCCCGCTGTGGCCGTGGGCGACACAAATCGGGGATGGACAGAACCCCCTTTAGCAAAACGTGGTTTAGTGAAAACGACCTCGGGCCCAAATCTGGCGGGCGAAAGCCTGGAAAATAACGGCCACGGCGCCCTCTCGAAAGCCGAAAACGGACAATTCACTAATCGACGTGTCACTGTTGGGGGTTCTGTCCAGCCCCGAGCGACACAAAAAGCCCGCACCCGCGGCCTCGCGGACCGGGCCCTCTGGGCCGCAACGCCGCGGCTACGGGGCGCCTGTTCGCGGAGGCCCCGCGCGGGACGCACCCGCGCGACCGCACGCCCGCGGGAGCGCGCCCCGAAGTCCGGACCGCGAGTTCGCGGACCGACGGCTCTGTTCGCCGCTCGTGAGCTGTGGCTAGCGGCGGATCAGCAGTGGCGTCCGGGGCGCGGCGACCACCACGGAGCCTGGGGAGACCACGAGGTACCGGCACCGCTGCTCCCCGGACCTCTCCTGGGGTGCGGTCTGACCAGGATTTCGAGGCGAATCCAGCGGTGGCGACGAGGGCTTCCCAGAACAGGAGAGTACATAATCTAATCGACAATCCGTATCGGCGATCGAAATGAATAGGATCGGCGGAATTCGGCAGCCGAGTCGGGAAACATCGAATCGGCGGAAATCGGAGCCCACATCGGAATCCGAGGTCGAATCGACTCGGAACCGGAAACCATCAAAATCGAATCGGATCGAGCCGGAAGAACCGAAATGAGCCCTGCAGGAGGCCGAGAAAGGGGAAAACGGACGATGGGTAGCGGTATCGGTACCTTTTCCTCCTCTGTCGAGTAGGAGATCGACTACGGAATCGATGTATCCCGGACTTGATCTTTTCTAAGCCTGCGCAAAAAAAAGCGTAGACTGCCCCGCAGATCTGCGGAGCACTCGGCCCTTCTTCCCTAGACCCGACGACAGCAATCATCAAGCTCGGGGCGAAGCAATTCTGCAGCCGATCTCCCGCTCGACTCTGAGAGCCGCCCGGCGCGCGGCGTGGAGGGGCCACCGCTGGCACGGCCGTGGCCACCCGCACCTTTGGACGCCCGACATGGGCACGGAAAACATGGGAGCAATGCCCGACAACGAATGTTGTCCAAAACCGACACATCTGTTGGGCAGGCGACTCTATGTCTTCAGTGAACAACGTCCGCGGCGACGCGGACAGCGAGTCTTGCTCAAAATGAACAGGAACTGCTGCTGGGCAGCGTACCCACTCTTTCCGTACCTTAGGAGGCAACTACTGGGAGGTCTTCGTCGGAAGGATTATAAGAGGATTAAGCCCCACTGGGGGGCTGTTACGCCGGAGTGGGCCTCGGATTAAGCGGGACTAAGCCGGATTCAGCGGGATGAAACGGGATGAAGCCAGGTCAAGCGGGATGAAGCCGGATGAAGCTGGATTTCGGACCAGGCAAAATCCGAATTTGACCTCCCAGGAGTTCCATCCGAACGTACAGTGCGGGCGCGGTGGCAAGAAACCCTCACAAGAAACCCCACCCTGAAAACCCGCGCGCGAGGTGCAGCTGAGGGAGAGCACGGCGTACCCTGAACGCAGCAGCTCCTTTGACGGCCGCGGGAAGTCACCGCGCAGCGCGCGGAGCGAAGAAACCCAGGGTACCCTGACGAAAAATAGTGGGGAAACCAGAAGGTACCAATACCGCTACCCCCCGAACCTCTCCTGGGGTGCGCTCTGACCAGGATTTCGAGGCGAATCCGTCGGTGGCGACGAGGGCCTCCGAGGAGGCCCAAAAAGGTGAAAACGGGCGAGGGGGTAGAGGTATGGGTACCTCTTCTTTCTCTGACATCAAGGGTTTCTTGATGCGCGCCCCCTCTGTACCCATTTCGATCGTCCCAGGCACCAACGGGCTGGCCGCGCGAGCCGCCACGACCGGCTGCACGCGCCAGGCCGCCGGGGCCTGCGCAGGGACGCCCAGGCGAGCGGCCGGCCCCCGCGCCGCGGCCTGGCCGCGCCGGGTCGGCTTCGACGCCCAGGCCGAAGACGAGGCCAGGACGAGGAGGACGTCCGGGCGAGGGTAGATCGGGTCGGGCGAAAGGGGGGGATAGCAAAGGGGGGGTTTGAGAATCAGCTCACGTAGCTGATTTTCCCGGCGCCTCCCGGCGCCAGAGGCGCCCATGTATCGAGGAATGGGCCCCTCGGTGAGGCCGAAACCAGCTGCATGCAGCAAATTTCGTAACCCCCCCTTTCCCAATCCCCCCCTTTCGCCCGGCCCGAGTAGAAGTCGAGTCTCTGAGATCCCCGCGGTTCTGGAGGATGCCTCGGGCGCCGCGGCCTTCTCGGAGCGTTCCGGAACGCTTCGAGAGCGCTCCAGAGGGCCCTGGCCGCATACCTCGCCGTCCTAGCCCCAGCCGGCCTGAAGCCCTGAAGAAACACGCCTGACGGTTCTCCGCTCTTTTCGACCGCCGGGGCCGCCAAAAAACACTCGGGATGAAGAAGCGGTCATGGGGAGTGGGTCGAGACCTTGGGGGTCGACAGTACGACAAAAAATCACAACGCCAGAGGCTTCGAATCGCGAAGCCGGGTCGAACCGGACAGTGCGGCGGATCGGGCCGATCGGCTCGGAGTCGGAGCGGGATCGCATCGGCCGTGCCAGGATGCTCGGCAGCGCTGTTGCAGGTATCGGCCCGCACCGCCTCGGCGGAGCTCTAAGACGAAGCCGAGGATGGCACAAAATTAGGGGGCCACATGCGAACCCTACCCCTACCCCCCACGAGTTCTGGGGGGGAGGGTAGGGTTCACTTCGTTCGGAAGCTCCGGAGCGAAGTGAACCCTACCCTCCCCCTCAGAAATCATGGAGGGTAGGGGTAGGGTTCGCATGTGGCCCCCTAAAAATCGCACTCGAACAAATCGGTGATCTCTGAGATCGTCGTGGTCGCCGTCGCCGTCGCCGACGTCGTCGTCATCGAGTCGGATCGAGGCGGGCCCTGGCCTGGCCGGCGGGCGCGGGCGCCAGCTCGAGCTGCCGCTGCTGCTGGTGCTCCTCTTCCAGCAGCACCCTCTTGGGGAGAAGGGAGCCACCACCACCTCCTGGAGGGTGGAGGCAGAGGGTGGTCAGGGGTGGTGGTGGTGGTGGTGGTGGTGGTGGTGGTGGTGGTGGTGGTGGTGGTGGTGGTGGTGGTGGTGGTGGTGGTGGGTGGTGGGTGGTGGGTGGTGGGTGGTGGGTGGTGGGTGGTGGGTGGTGGGTGGTGTGGTGGTGGGTGGTGGGTGGTGGGTGGTGGTGGGGTGGGTGGGTGGTGGTGGTGGTGGTGGTGGTGGTGGTGGTGGTGGTGGTGGTGGTGGTGGTGGTGGTGGTGGTGGTGGTGGTGGTGGTGGTGGTGGTGGTGGTGGTGGTGGTGGTGGTGGTGGTGGTGGTGGTGGTGGTGGTGGGTGGTGGGTGGTGGTGGTGGTGGTGGTGGTGGTGGTGGTGGTGGTGGTGTATAGCCGCTCTCGCGGGACATCGTGCACACCCGCATCCCGCACACCAGCTCATCCTGAATCCCCCCCAGGTGGTGGTGGTGGTGCGCTTCCCGCTCCCGGCCTCTGCACCGCGTTCACCACGCCCTCCGGCAGGATGGCCCCACATCGAAATCGAAATACGAAGCGGCCATCGAAATACGTCGAGTCGGAGGGAGTCCACAGGCAGATCGGAAGGCATCGGGTCGACGTCAGCCAGCCCAAGCCGAGGCAGTCCAGAGCCGAATCGAGTCGAAATAGGAATCCTCGAAGCAGAATCGATTCGCATCGGCAGAGTGGAAACGGCTCCTGCCTCCAGGCTGTCCTTGAGGCGGTCGCTCACCAGCACCTCTGGACAGAACAAGAATGTCCCCACTTCCCCACCAAGGAGTCCTTGGCCCCGCGGCCAGGTTTCCATCCCGAATCGCTGCCCTGGGCGGCCCTGTGGCCCGGCGAGGGCCCCCCAGGAGCAGAAAACGGCTCAAAACCTCACGCCGTGACTTTCCCACGACGCGAAGACATCATGGACCATGAGCCCCCGAGGCCGAAATCCAAGGAAAACGCCCGGGTGGGGGAAAAAACACGTACCGTCGGAGACCTGGGCCTCTCCGAGGCTGACCGACCCCTTCCGTGACGAGAACCTCTCCCGCGACGTCCCCCCCGCCCTCCACGCCTCCCTCCGGCCACGTGCGTACGCCTTGGGGTGCGGAAAGGGAGATGTCACAGAAGGGGATACCTTGCCTGGGGCCGGTTGGGCCGCCCCTGGCTTCATTGGGAAGAGCACCGGCTCCGATCTCTGGGCCCCACGCTCCAGGGCGGGCCGCAGCGCATCCTTGGGGCAACCGCACAGGGATACCGACACCGCTCCTCCGACGGTTCTGACATTCGGCGGCTCTGGCGGATGTATCTAACCAGCCTCGCACGTGTCCCGATCACTGAGAGTGCGCTGCCGACGGGATTCCTAAAATCGGCATCGAGAAAAGGCGATGCCAACCGTAGGGACAGGGATAGGCTTCAGGCTGGTAAAGTATCTGCCGTCGCGGCCGTTGCTGAGCGCTCCAGGGCACTCTCATCGCGTCGCAGGACACTCGGCGGCGGATTTACCCGTCCTGGGCCCGCCCGAACGAAGCCATCGGTCCGCATCGGAACGTCGGTCCGCATCCGCACTCCGCATCGGATCGCCGGAACGTCGGGAACGAAGGGATCGGGCCGACCGGAACCTGGGGCAAGCAAAACTTGGAGGAGGAGGAGGAGGAGGAGGAGGAGGAGGAGCGATCAGGAGCGATCAGATGAAAGGACAGCGTACGTCCACAAAATTTCAAAGCCCAGCGAGTTAAGCAGAAACTCCCTCGGGGGGTGGAACGCGACCACTCGTCGACGTCGTCTGGGTCGTTCCACCCCCCCTTGCACCGAGGCCAACAAGTCCTTGTGACTCCGCCTCTCTCACCGCTCTTGGCGGTCCCGACGGGTGCGGATACCGCCCCGACCTGATGGCCGCCAGATTCTGACGGCCCTTGGCCGTTGGATTACAACGCAAGACCAACCATCTCGGGTCGGTGGTGCACGACTTGCCGCAAGTCGTGCAGAAAACCAAATTATATTTAGCCCATTTCTGCAGAGTGTGCGACCCATGGAGCTCTCTACCCGACACCCGAAAGCCAGCACGAACGGGGGAGAAGTCGGGCGTCTGCTCGGGCCTGCAACGGGAGGCACACATTTGGAAAATCGAATCCTGATTCGAGAACAAATTGCAACGCCTACATATATACTTCGTCCCTGCACGGGACCACGAATGCTCTGAGTCACGCAGGGCACAGGCAAGCTTAGGTAACGGGGCCCCCCCCTCGATTCCAGGGCGCTCGCAGGTCCAGGGATCGGCTTGGATGCTCGCTGCCAGGGCTCTCCGCGCCCTCCGACGGACCAGGGCGGCCTCGGAGTCCCGAACATCGGTCTGGGGGGGGGGCGAAATCACGAATTCAGTCCAGCTAAGCTCGGCAGCTTCGCTGGCCAAGGCGTCTGCGCATTCATTCCCGAAGGCGTAAAACAACTGCGTACGCGAGAGTCCTCCTATCTCCTCTTGGTGGGAGGGGACCCATACAATTTCTATTCGGCCAGGCCCACGATCACGCTTGGCGGCCTGGATCCTGGCCCAAAGGTCTATATTCACCCCGCTGCTCGGCGGCTCAGACCCACAGCCTTTGGTCCAGGAGTCCAGGAGGGGGCGATGGTCAGTAACGAAACGGACGTCGCCATCGCTGGATTCAAGGGCTTCGGCGAAGGCGGTTATCTCAGCGCGCGGCACGGTCTGTCTTCGGCCCTCGATGCTGCAGCCCAGACCCCAGACGGCACGCCAGACAGCCCCTTCGGGGGCGAGACCGATCAGACCCGAGCCGACCCTTCGACGCCGAGGGTCGTCCGAGAACCTCCCACCCGACCCGTCCCCAAACAAGGTCACAAAACCTTCGGCGTCTCTGGGAACGGCTGCAAGGGTGCCAAACGAAATTCGGATGGGAGGCTTATCCGCGAAGGTCGGGACCGTTTCGGCTCGGCCAGGGACCCCGCGGAGCCAAAAACTCGGGCAGCTCTCATGGTTCACCCGGGCTTTCTCGGCCAAAACCTGGCTCTTCTCGAAATCTTCATGGCCAACATTGGCCTCACAGGCCCACACTCGGTGGTACAAATCCTCGGGGGCTTTGGAACAGCGGGGGCAGAGGCCATCAATACGGTAGCCTGCCGCGCGCAAGCGCTCACGAGTCCACTGGGCGCCCGTGACGACCACCACGTCCAACGCCCAGTTGTCGCCCTCGAGGTCTGGCTTGAGGCGGCTGAGCTCCCTGGAGACGTGGTACATGTCCGCGCCCTCCGAGAGGTCCGAGGCAGCTTCGTGGAGGGCCGCCGCACGCCACAACTGTCTGTCAATCGTGGCCTCAATGTCATCAAGGATGTCCGTGAAGTCTCCGTGGAAGTTGTCAAACTCTGGGGACGCCACAGACGGGATGTGCCACTCGAACTGCTCATCCGAAGACCACACCATCGGGCTGACGGGGTCCCAACCAATGTCGAGCAAGGTTGAAATCGTAGCTGCAATGGGGCCCTTCGAAACTCTCCATCTTCGCGAACCCGCTAATCGTAGGCGGCTACGGATGCTATCCCACGATCTCGCAATACGTGTGTGATATTCTGGGTACTCTCGCCACAATCGCAGCCATGCCAGGACCTGCTCACGTCGAAGTGCCTTCGCTGGGTCTCGTCGGTCAAAGGCGGCGGCAAGCGACGTGGTCAAACATCGGCCAGGCCCCGTGCCGACGGCACTCTGGGCGGCCTGGCGGCGGATCTGCACCAGCTCGTAGCCAGGGATCCCGAACGTCTGGTGCGTGTAGGTGCCCTGCGGCTTGGACCCCATGCTCCAGAGGCCCTTGGTGATGCCGCGGAGGCTGGCGTGGCGCCTCATCCTCATGATGGCGGAGGTGCGCTTCTTGGCCTTCATGAAGCGCTCCCTCGCCTTGGTTCTGGTCCGTGATCGGCCCGAGGTCGCGTCAGCACCGAGGTCCACAGCGTGGCGGACAGGTGTCACAGGGATGCCAACATCGATCAGGCCGGCAGTGATTCGGGCTGCCAAGCTCGAGGACGAAGCAACGACCACCGTCTTCGGGCTTATCTTGAGCCCTGCGTCCACGAAGTCGCTGGCCAGGGACGTGCAGGAGTCGATCATCAGCGAGCCGACCTCGTGCGCTGTCCCCTCTGCCCGAACCACCGTGTCGTCAACGAAGGTGCGGAGTAGGATCCTGAGCCCGTAGTTGATGTGGGCCCTGTCCAGCATGGGGCCCATGAACGCCTTCGCGAAGCGTCCACTCTGCAGCGAGCCTGCCACTAGACTCTTCTCAGGTTGAATCGCCTTGCTCAGCCAGAGCCTGTCCTTGAGGTGCCGCGGGGCAAGGAACAGCTGCAACTCCAGCGCGAGGATGAGAGCAGGAAAACCTTGGCGAATACCTGCTGCACACATCTTGGCAATCGAAATACTATCATAAAATTTTTCCAAGTCCAGGAGCAAGGTAGCACATGAAATCTTCATCTCCTGGCAGGTCTCATCGAGGAGAGATCGGACCAAGGCAGCCTGCAGGGCAGACGAGCCACGGATCGCTGTGTCCCAATGCTCGTCCATGGCCACCGTCCAGTCCAGGGAGTCAGCACTTCTCATCTTGCTCCACAACTTGGGCAGGAACGGGAGCAGGCCCAGGATCCTGTCGCCCCCCTTCGGCTTGGGGGCGACGGCGGCGATCACCATGAAGAGCTGGTGCGGCCACATGGCGACGCGCTCGATGTGCTTCACCAGCTCGAGCAGCTCATGGCGGGCCTCAGCAGGCAGCCGCTGCACCTCGATGGGGCCCATGGCGTCGACCCCCTTGGCCTTCTTGCCATTCATGGAGCCCAGCGCGCTGTTCATGCGCTCGGCGGTGAGCTGCTCGAGGTCCTGGGTGTCGGCCCTGCCCATGACGTACTGGAGGCCGTCGATGATCTTGGCAGGGACCATCGTGTCGTCGCTCCATATCTCGTTCCAATCATCTGCACGCTTGTCCATCATCTCATCAGGGGTGGCGAAGACCTTGGAGTCAGCAATGATCTCGTCGGGCTTGTCAGGTACCCCTTTCACGTGGCGGTGTAAAATTCCTGGCGACTCCTTCCACATCTTGGTGGCCCAGGCCTGGAATCCCTTGCGAGCCTTGGACAACGAGAGGCCGATGGCTCTGCACTTGTAGGACTCCGCCTGCTGGAGTATGGTGTCGAACTCCTCATCGTCGGCAGTGCCAATCTGCTGGATCGCCGCAACCCAGGTCCAGAACTGGTCGTCGTCGCCGAAGGGCTTCTGGAAGTCGCTGTCCAGGCCAACGTCCAGCAACTCGAGGAGCTTGGTCATCGTGTAGGCGTTGTCGTGAACTCGAGCCGTCCGTCGGAAGATGCCCAATCTCGAGAGTAGTGACGTGCACAGGTTCCACCATTCGAGTAGCGGATCTCTCAAGTGGGGCCTGGACGGGGTGGCTCGCGTGATTTTCCATTCAATATCGTATCCTTGTGCCCTGCCACGACACTTCTTGGCATCACCTGCTGGAAGCTCGTGGTGTGCAATCGTTGCCTCCTCCACTGCTTGGACCCATCGCCCGTAGCGTAGGCCAACATCGTCACGTACTTCGGGATCCCGATCGAGCAGGAAATGAGGCCGATGTGCGGGGGCGCCTTCGTACGGCTTGTCCTTGGCGGCCTGCCAGCACTCCAAGGGGATGTTGAACGCAGGTCCTGCAGCTGGTGCTGGAGGGGCTTCATCGTGGTCGTAGAGGTCGGCGTACGCCTCCT